AGTAGAAGAGAAAATACGAGAACAATACCGAGACGGAATGAAGAGGCGCCGAAGGCGCTTAGTGATGGTCCGGAGATGACTGACCGAAATCAACAGCGCGACTGTCTGGTCAAACATAGCTCTCATACTGGTTAATAAGCACAGATAGTACTCCAGGCTATGGAATCACCAATTCTCACTTCGAACGACAACTGCGGGTACCGTGGCTTGTTCAAAAACTCTTCCAAGAGTCGAGCTGAACGGACATCTATATTCAACTCAGGTAAATCATTTATACTAGATTACGCAGGCGCCTGGCTTTCCTGCGACTCTGCTTTCCGTTCTGTGATCCTCGCCATCGTTTCTTGCTCCTTCTCAAGAAGTCTGTCTCGCCTCGCTCTCCGTTGTTGAAGAGTTTCTTCGTGCTGCGCTCGCTTATCCGGATGCTTGTTGAGATATTCCCAGAGGTTCGGAAGAGTATCGGCCTGACCTGCCTGTGGTTGAGGTTTGGTCTTCGCATCTTTGACAGCCTCTGCCTCTTTTGCAAGAACTTCTTCTGGTATAACACTCGTCCCTTTCTTCTTCGCTTCCGCGACAGCAGCTTTCCAGGGTTCGCCACCATACTGGTCCATGAGATCTGTGAGGATTGAGGAGGCTAGCTTGTTGTGCATAGACAGATTGACGACTTTCTTCTTTTTCTCATCTGTGGAATTAAAACGTAAGTTTTTCTGAAAGCTGTAGAGGCGCAGCAGCAAGAGGCGGCGACTCACCAAGAGCAACTTCTATCTCTGGCCGCCATTTGTCGTTGGGAGATGTAGGCCATTTGTGAACTTCAATGGCAAGGTTGGGGTTTGCGTACCGAATACGCGGTAGTTCGTTCTGAATGAAATGTCTAAATAATAAATAATAAACAAATTTGTTCAAAACTGGATGGACGCGTTTGATGTACTTGGCACCCCAATGGTCATTTTTCGCACTCAAAGTTAAGCGCAATGACTTAACCTCACTTGAAAGTGTCAACCGAGGATGTTGGTTTAACTGTTCAAGTAGCTTGGAAAGTTTGTGTATTCCTCTTGGTAAGGTTGTCTTTACAGTGGACGTCGAAGCCATGTTGAAACTATTCCAGGATAACGCGCAAGAATGATAGAGTTTGGCCTGAGTAGGTAGATTCCTAGAGTAGCTGCAGCCTGAAGTCGTCGTCGGCGTACGCGACAATGTTCGGAGCGTCAGGACACCGGGAGAAGAAGTGACAGTGCGTGTTGTTTGTGGTTGTTGCCACTCCGCTCGATTTCAGGGGGTGGCTGAACCTTGGAAGCTGGGCATTCTACCAGATTGCTGAACATAGTGTCTCGCTGATTTAAATCATGCTTACAGTTTATACGCTCTTAAAAATAAAATAAAAAGCGAGTGAGAGGAGTTATTCGAAGTCCATTTGGAACTTAGATTTCTGTGCTATGCAGAAGTACACAGGCACGCTTTGACCTCCACGCATTTCTAAGCCAAGAATTCCAAAAACACTTCGTCTCACAACCTCAAACTAACGTTGCTTAGAATATTCATCTTTGGGAAAGCACTAAAAATTATAATGTCCTGTATCCGCTCACGCGACAAGGTTCTGTAGTGTAGCGGTTATCACTCAAGATTCTGACCTTGCAGGCTGAATTCTTGTAACCCCGGTTCGAATCCGGGCAGGACCTACACTTTTTTTCTTGTCTTCTTGAGACTCTCTGACTTAATCTGATGTCTTAACACTTTGTAATTTTTGCGCGTAGATTACACGAGCGTACTACATGGCCCTGGGCACTGTAGTATAGTGGATATCACGCGTCTGGCTGTAACTGGACGAGACCTCAGTTCAACTCCGGGCGGGGCCTTGAGCGCTTATTTTTGGTTGGCCGCCCCAGACAACTATATTTTCGAGGTTCAAACCCTCTGGCTATGTTGACTTTACTGGAACTCTGCATTTTTACATTGCCTAAGCATGACCCACTCTCAGGCGCTTCAGTGCTACAGCACCTGTAGATCGGCTGGTGATTATCTGCATTAATAAATATTACATTATCTGTCACCGTAGTGTAGTGGATAGCACAGCCTGTCACCCAATTGCACGCAACCTCGGTTCGACTGCGAGCGGGGCCTTCTGTGCTTTTTTTTGCTATTCCTGATCATTGGATTGATGGGCGCTTGTGCGGACGCTTTTGGCTTCATTAATCAGTACCAAAAAAATGGAAGTGAAAATTCTTATTTGATCGAAGCCCTACCTCTATGTTTTGTTTCAAGCGCGACTCAAATTTTTGATATGTAGTACTATCAAATTTTTGTCAAAGTTTGCACCGCGAAGAGAGGCGATCTTGAAGCCGACTCTCATTAGAATCGATTAGTTACACCCGATTCAAGGGAACAGGCACCTTACTGTGGTGGATATCACACGTCGAGCCTATGACTCGACGTAAGCTCGGTTCGACTCCGAGAGGGGCCTCCATAAAATCTTTGGTTGTTCCTATGAACCGATGCAAATATAGGCATTGGAGTAAAATTTTTTGATATCATTTACCAACACGATTTTTAAGAGAAAGTGAAGCTGTCTAGTGAGGCCCCGCGTCTTGATATTGTATCTCGAGCACCACTCATTCTCAATAAAACCTTACACCGAATTGAAATCACTGTGTGATCTTGGGCTAATTCTCCTTAGACTCAATAAATTTGAGTTTCTTCAGGGAATAAAACACCGTGGTGTAGTGGATACCACACATAACTCTCATAAGGTCCTCGATTCGACTCCAAGCGGGGCCTCGAGCAAATCTCTTGCCATAGAAATCAATCGGATCCCTTGACGTCGAGATCATCGACGCGCAACCTAAATCTTTGGGACAAAATAAAGATTTTAGATACATAGATTTCTCTCATTTTCTGGAGTTAAATGTAATTTATCATCTCCCAATTCTCTTTGGACTGATCACAGTATCAGCAGTAAATTGTTGAGACTCTGGACAGGGGCCCATCAATCTGTTGTGGATCAGCAATCATTTACCAAACACCGGATGGCCGGAGACCGACGGAAAGCTACGCCGATCACTTGTTTTGCCACGTCCACTCAGCCTTGCGTTGAGTTTGTTCATCAACCTCCAAAAGTCTTAAAGGACCGTCACGAAACCTCCAACGACACTTTATCTTAAAGTAGAAATGTCAGCTGCAGCACGCGCAGAAGCTCGCCGCAAGGCGATCTTGAGTCGAGGCACTGATAGACTAGCAAAACTCACGACGTCGGCGAGAGGTGAGGATGCAGGCGCGTATTTGCAAACTGGTCAGTCTCTTTTTATCTCTGTGAAGCTTTAAAAACAACTAAGGTGACTTTCCTTGAAAGAATCTCCCAGCATCGCTTCGAACACGAGCAGCTTTCTTGGCGAAGAGAGCAGTAATATGCCAACACCTCAGCGCTTTACACCATCTCCCTCTCCGGGTCTGACACCTCGCAAACAGCCATCTGGTAATGGTTTGAGAGCGACCTCAGGTCCAGCATCTTTTGTATCTGCCTCGTCGCCTTCTGCTTCTACAACTTCGTCAGACCATCTGTTTTCACCAGGCACTTCGGCCAGCACTGCAGCAACAGGCACACCGCACAACCCATCTGCTTTCCTTCCAGAACAACAGCAACAATTTATGCAGGCTCTAATGCATGCAGCAGCCTCTACTGGAAGCACAGGCGCTTCTTTGCCAGGTCTCTCCTCGCCGATTGGTGATCCAGCTTTACCTATGGATTTCAATGGACCTCCATTAGACAATCCGTTTGCTGCGCTGCTCGGTGCAGGTGGACGTATGCCTCAAGGTGGAGCCGGAACAAGGAGCGCAAGCGCTGGGTTTGGTCCACCTGGCTTCGGACAACCTTCAAGTGGAAGCGCGCCTCCTCTCCCACCCGGCCTCGCACAACTTCTCGGAGGCGGTGCTGATCCTTCCCAAGGATTCATGCAGCAAGAGCCCAAAAAACCCAAAACGATGCTCCAGAAAATCATGCCGTTGTTGCATCTCGTGGCCATCTGGTGCCTGTTGTCTTACTTTATATTGTTCGCCGAACCCCAGGCGTTTGGGAAGAGCATCCATGCTCCCGGCGTTGGAATGGATAGTATTCGTTATGCCTGGAATCGATGGTCTCAACTAGCCTGGAGGCCATACGATAGAGTTCTGGCGATGGTACGTCAAACTCCGGTCTCATATGCCAATTGTCATTCTCACTCAATTCTGTTGTAGCCATTCTTTTCAGTATATGTAACTCTCCAGCTGGTGTTACATTCTGCGCATTATTTCCTTGGCCTCGACGCCATTGCACTTCCAAGCTTGTTTCAGCTCGCACTTCCTTCGTTGCCACCACCTTTTCCCAGCTTGATTGTCAACTCTCTCAAGTATATTAAGATGGGATCAATGTTCCTCGATGATTTATCCGGGCTGTTGGTAGGCTTGGGCTTCGTTATTTGGATGAGTGGATGGGTGGGCACAGGGGGTGTTGCATCTTGGAGTGCAACTGTTTGATGTCTTGTATTTTCATGTGTCATTACATTGCATGTTGAACTTACGGTGGCATATATCCCTTTGTTTAGATAACTGTGTACTCCTGGTATTTGTTACGGCATCACTTGGTGTAAACGGTGTACGCCAAATAAGGCAGGAGGCCTTCTATATATGGATGATATCCGACTTTTTATTAATCTACCGCTATCTGAATCTGGACTATTGTAGTATCTCTGCCAAGCGACCTTGAAGTCAGGTGCCTTACCATGGCGATGGCCTGGACCGACATCCATCTCAACTCGAAGAACTGGCCTTTCAACCGAAATGCGTGGATCTTTCTGGGCAGCCCCTTGTCCAGTGCAATTTGTCCCCTCCCGCCTGTAGGTAAAATATCTACAAATTAGGCGGCAAAGGGCGTTCCCTCATTTTTCCAGCTCAGAATACCGCTTCATAGTATTCTTCAGGCCTTCCTCGCGAGCTCAGATTTAATAATTTGAGCTCGGTCAAAATTGGGAGCACACCCAACACTGTAAAAATCCATCGCATCTCATGTCGGAAAGGTTTAAATCGAGGCGTTACCACCTACTGTATGTATTGGAGCATTCATACAAAAATCGAGTGAGACGTCGGAAATCACTACTCGTTCTGAATGATTCCGGAGGGCGAAGAGTCTGCCGTCCCATAACCTCAGTGTAAGTGGGAGTGTTCTGGATCAGGAATGATTTCTTCTCGATAGCAACTCGATTTGATGCGAAAAGTTGGCTTTCTCGATAGAAAACGAAACATGGGTCCAAAGACTGGGTGTCGAATGGCCAGTCCAAGTTGGGATCGTCAGAGCGCGGGGAGTGTTCGAATATTCGACAGATAAGCTTTGTAGGAATGATCTCGGGAAAACCGCGCTTCTTGCTTAATGCTTTGTTTTCTAGTGGTGGTCCTATGTCCGGTACAATCCAAATTGGATGTGGAGCATATGGGTACCAGGGTTTCGCAGAGGCGGTGCAATGATCACCGATGTGCCTTCTGGTCCAAGAAAACCAAGCCCGCAAGAGCTCATAGTCGGCGTAAACCAAAGTTATGCTAGTGACTTCAACCTTCAGGACCTCAAGGTCCCAGAGTTTCAAGAAGTAGCAGAGTAAATCGAAAGCGATCTTCTTTGTCAACTCTTTCAACCGCAACCCTAGCGCGTTGTTTTACTCCAGTGCATAGAGGCACCCATTGGTTAGATTTTGGCGGCGTCGCCACGAGGTAGTTATCCATTTGTCCGGGAAAACATGAGTCCAAAATAACTTGCACAAGGACTGCTGCTACTGCGCTCCTGTAGAACGTTTCTTCGATGACCAACGCTTGCAGCTAAAACTTACGGAGTTCGATGTATTTTCGCACGAGCTTGTCAGCACCGTGACGGTCGCAGGCCAGCACTTGGATTTCTATCATGTTTGTTGTTCTGCTTACTGAGTGTTGTCTTTTTCCTTCTTCTTTCCGATAGCCCTCGGATGCATCAAACAACACCTTCGACCCATCACATTTATTTTTACTTTCTTTTTAAGTTAACCTTCGACTACGAGGCCAACGGCATAAAATGGCCACTTTGACCACCGCCATTGAGCTTATCGAACGAGCTCACCAGCATTCGGTATCTCAAGTGAACATAGACTCTGACTCATACTCAAACTCGAGCAAAAAACTTGATCAATCTGCCCTCGAGGTCAGACCAGCCGAGGATAACCAGAGCACAACAGATATCAGACGACAGGATGTCGAGGATGTGGGTTCTTCAAGTTCTACGAGGACAACTGGTGAAGACGCGGAATTCAAGCTACCCAGTTACAAAAATCTTGCAATCATCATCGGTGGCAATGCCTTATTCCAGGTGTGCATTCCCTAATCGAGTTCGTGAACGAACTAACTTACGAGATTGTTCCTCGTAGATCTCATTCTTCATCATTGTGTCTTCTGCTAGCCTGTTCGCCGAACATCTAGGAGGAACGGCCACATTCTCTGGCCTAGTCATCGGTATCCCGACCGTGTTTTCAGGCTTGTGTTTGCTAGTTGTCTCGAGATATGATGGAGGTATGTGTCCGTTGACTCTTTTTTCAAACTCTCTTTGTTAATCGCTCTATTCAGGCCAATACAATTCCCCTCTCATTCTTGCCTACACGGCCATTCTTATTGGATCCATTCTATACGCCCTTGCATACCCCTTCCGATTCCTCTACCTTATTTTGATTGGCCGAATGGTCTCTGGGTTCGGGTTTATCGGATTTATGTATTGCAAACGGTACTGTTCTGATCCTCGCGTAGTTGGAGTCCGACGACGCACAACACTCGCCAGTTTGCTTGTTGTCGGCCAGGGAATTGGAACAGGCCTTGGTCCGTGGTTGGGAGGCGTGTTATATAAATACGCAGGTGAAGATCAAGGGACGGTGTGGAACGGATTAACGAGCCCGGGATGGGTTATGTCAGGAGTGTTTCTCGCATTCTTGATCGTTGGCGGGTGGTTCTTTGATGATGTGCCAAAGAAAGTCGACCAAGTCAGGACGAACGCGGTTGAAGTATCGCCCGATACTCACGCTCAAACTACAGATGAACTGGCTAACGAGCCCGAACTAGAAGAAGATACACGGCTTACACTACCTCGCGCCTTTGTGCTCTTCACAATGTGTTACTCGTCGATGACTTGCTTTTTCGTCCTTGGAGCCTGGGAGGCCAACATTCCCGTTTTTACTGCCGCCGTACTTGGTTATAACCCTTATCAAGCGGGTAATTTTATCGCGCTGGGTGGCGCTTGTGCTTTCCCTTTCTTAATCGCGAATGTATGGTGGTCAATGAGAAGGGGTGGAGGTATCCAAGACCGGACTGTGCTAAGTGTAGGCATGAGTACTGGCACCGCCGGACTAGTGCTTCTCCTGATCACGGTCCTTGTCAAAAAAGTTTCCTTTGGGCCTATCTTCGTAGCGTGGTTCCTCGTTGCGCTCG